TTAATTACAACTATAAGAAGCTAGAACCTAGGTTTCAAATATAAAGTTACCAGCCTTTGGTTAAAATAAGAAAAATTAATACAAATGATAGAAAATTGTTGTACATTTAATTTCTTTCTTTTAATTTCACCCCTTGCACGCACTGTTCCAGATCAGCACTACTTTTACTCAAACACAGCACTTAAGCACACTTTTGAGTTACTTGTATTTTCATTTTGTTTTCTTTAAAAAATAACTTTCATGCTACTTTTTAATTGGTTATCATATGTTTTGTTACTGCATTTGTTTCACTTATGTATCTTTGCTCTGTGAATAATAATGTAAACTATATATTCCTGAGATAAAAAGTAATTTAATAAGACTATATGATTTAAGCGCATTAGTTTTAATTGCAAAAAGAACATTTTGACTATTTTCAAAAAGTGAATGCGTTATGAGACACTTATTTTGAAACCTCAGAATCGGAAATAGCTCAGTAAAGTCTCCGCTTTGCTTAACACCCATCTCTGCTGAAGGAGCGGAGGGGCAGAGCGGAGGGACCCCGGTCGTTTTTCAATGCTGGGGAGCCGGGAAGCAGGAACCGCCGGAGGTGGGCAGGTGGCCGCGGCCGGCGGACCGCCAAGCCGGGATCAGGAGACCCTTCCCGGCCGCGCAGGGTGTCGCCTCACCGGCCTGGTCAGCTGGAGGCGGAGACCATGCAGGACTTCAGCCCTGTTTGCTGCAGCCAACGCGATGTTCGGGTAGGCATCATGACGCAGGGATATCTCACAGCACTGAGCTCCTGTTAATAAAATAAATAAATAAAAATAATTATGACTTTAAGTTAAATATTAAATATACTGTTAAAAAATCATGACATCCTAGTAATTCCACATTAAAGGCGTAATTATTTCATCTTTAGTCCTTTCTTTCTATTATATATTTTAAATCCTTTGACGTTGTTACTTTTAAATTCATCTATACTTCACACACTAATAATAATAATAATGATGATCTTGTAAATACTTGTATGTAATACTTGGTTGTAAATACTCAGCTACCACTGTTTTCTGTATTTTTCTGTATATATTTTTCTGTATGTAATGTCTGTATCAGGGACATTGTCAAAACAAAGTGCCATGAGCAAAAAAACCCAAACAAATCACAATAATTTGGGACTTCATGAGACAAAATTCGTCAAGTTTATGTTTGTTCGTCTGTTTAAACAAATTTCACTTTTTTCATTCTGTTACAATATATTGTTTGAAATGTATTTTATGGCCTAAAAATAAGAGTTACATTCATAATTAGTCAACAGTAAAAGCACTTAAAAAACATTTAAAACCCCAAATAGTGTTCATTTAATTTTATTTGTATTAGTATTTTTATATATTCCAGCATTGCTATATTACTGCTGCAGTGGTTCTGCTTAATGTACTGAAAGAGGAAAAGCATAGATTGCTGTTATAAAGTCTTCGTTACACAGATCTGTTATAATTCTGCATCCTGACTTTTTGAGTAAGGAAAGCAGAAAAGCTCAAACTTCTGACACAGGGTCATTTTTTCATAATGGCAAAAGAATATGAGAATATTTTAGCTCCA